GCTAAACGTGCCCAAAAATTTGTATAACTATCTTAACCGTCGAATGATTGAAGCAGGGAGGGGTATATGAAGTGGGAAGATCATAGGAATCCATATAGCAGCATATACAAAGGCACTAGTGGAGGAACTGCAATAAGTATCAGTGCATGTGATGATGATCAGAACTCTGCAGACACTACAGTTAGTACTACTTCATCTGCAAAAGAGCAAATTAGTCCTCGTGATTTTCGAAGCCATCTAATCTGTGCATGAGATTTTGCAGGCTTTCACCAGAAGCGCGATTGGTGCACTGACTTATAGTTTCATCAAAGCTTTAAATGAGAAGCCTAAGTTGACATATGGTCAAGTGCTTGTGTCCTTACAAAACCTAATTGCGCACGTCCAGGAGGAAGCATTCTCAGATGGTACATCTGCACCACCACCTCAGGTAGATTTACCACATTAGCCTTTCATGCTTTGGAATTAAGAATGAAGTTTAAAAAATGACTTATGCATTAAAAAAATAATTATCTAGCTAATTATAAACAATCTTCTTGCAAAAACAAGGGAAACTTGGTCTAGATTAGCACCGGCTACGCCCTTTATAAAGATATTCTTGGCAATGAGGGTTTAATTTTGGGATTTTTGCAGGTGCCTCAATTATCATCTTCAGAGAGGTTCGACATTCACTCCAAGATCATGACATTGTAGAAGCTCCGAATCTAATAATCTACCACGGAGTATATACATAAGCATCAATAGTTTTTAGAAACATGTCACATGGTGTGATCTTATAAGTACGAAGTATGTAATAAAGCTTCCTTCTATTATGTATGGTGAAGACTAAAAGTGAAATAAACTTGACCCTTGTTTTTTGTGTTTTACCAACTAAGGTAGCAACAATCTCTCCAAACTAAGAACTACTCGATAAAAGAAAAAGATCATCATCCGGAGTTAAATTTTTACTCAAATTTGGTCATTGGCTTTCTTTGTGGACTTGATTTGGTTCGCATGCCATGCCTACCTCGCCCAGATTAAGAATGATACTTATGTATGCTGAGAACTAAAGTGAGTCCAAGTTACCTGGTTTAAAACTGAATTTAGTCCTGAATTGGGCATGTATTTAGTATGTGGACAAACATGCCCTTTCACATTTCAACCAAACATAAATGATGCATCATGTAGTGCGGATTAGGAGTACCAGTTTTTTAGTTAACGGAACACAAGAAAGAGGCGCGAGACGCTGAGAACCAGCGAGAGTAAGAGCTGTGGAGGTTTGGCCAGTCGGACGATGAGCAATAAGTGTAGTGGTGGAGCCAAAGGGACAGCACTCTTTCTTGCTCTTCTTCCTCCAATGTATTTATCATCTGCTCCAATGTTCTTTCTACCTCTGCCCTTCTGCTGACGCTCAAAACCGGAGTATCTGTGCCATTGCTTGCGCGGCACAACAATGGCAACCATGACACCATCACATTCATGTTTGTTTCTCTAAGTTCACATTTCATGCTTTCTTCATCTGCCTCTTCCCACATCTTCATTGCTTGATCCAGTAAGAATGCTACAAAAATGAACGGTACGGTCGAATACACACATTATCATCACTACAATTTCAGTCAACATTTTCCAATAATTTCTGAAAATGAGCTAAAGTGATGCTCTTTCATTAAGTCCACAATTTGAACACTATTGTATAATTGCTTGCCTGAAACTTTGACGAGGGCGTCTTGAAGCCTTGGTTCAGCAGATAGAGAGACCCGAGCCAATGGTTGAGCAGAAGCCCACTTACAAATAGCCTCCTGCGCACAGCCACAGGCTGTCATTTTATGAGCCAGCCATAGCAATTCCGCCGCCAGCTTCTCAGCGGAGAGCTCCAATCGGCGTAGGGCATCCCCGGATCTCCGACCCCGCAGCATAAGATCCCAATAGAACCCAGCCGCTTCTATAACGCGGCGGAACCTCTGGTAATGATCGGTGGTGGAGCTGCCTCCGTCTGGAATCCCAATTGCAGGATCCACCTGCCGATTCCGTACAATCAACGCGGATTCAAGCTGCTTAAGCGTCAGGCAAAACGCCGCCGATAACACATCGCAATTAACTTCCGTCAACACGTCGCTCTTATAGGAAACATTTTCATCAATGAACTTCTCGGCCAACGATCTCGCGCCTTCATACTTTCTGGAACTTACCGGAATATCAGTCACGATGGACAAAATCTGCGCCAGTGCTCTAGCAATAGCCGGCTCGCGTCCGCGGCCGTCTACGGCCGCCGCACGAGAACTCTCCGACTTGATAGATCTAATCGGGAATTCGTTGTAGCCTTTAACAGCGAAAATTGAGGTCAAAAGGCGAAGGAAGACGAGAACGGCGGAGAGGATGAACCGACGAAGGAGGCGCAGAGGTTCGAAATTACGGAAGAACAGTATATAGGGCTTTCCGGCGAAGATGAACAAGGAGGTAAAGAGGCTTCTGAAAACAGAGGACGGCATTGTGGCCGGAGAATCGGCAATTTTGATTTGATTTGATTTTTTTCTGATGCTATAAGGAAAGTCTGAGAAATGATAGACAGTATAATCCGCCATTAAATACCTTATTTTAGCGGTTGAGTCGATAAGCGGAAAGGAGAAGCGCCGCCATTTGCACGCTCAGCGATTTCTTGCACCGATGAAACACTGGGATTTATCTCCCTCTTTTTCTTTTTTTTTTCTTTGACGGTGTGAGTGATAAAGCGGGAAAAACTTTTCATGCTTTGTTTGGGAACAGTGTTTTCGATTAGCGTTAGCGTTTTGGATAAAATTTTAACGGTGCAGATTAATTCTGAAAACGCTAACGCTAAAGGCTACCGTCGGATAACTTTTTCAAAACGCTAACGCTAATCTCTGACGCTGATACCAAACGAGGCCGAAGAACACACCGTTTGAGAGGCCATGGCTTGGGGTAGCTTCGACAATTTATTTCTTATTCTTATTAAATAAAATCAAATTTAATTAGATCAGTTCTAACTTTTAATCAGATCAGGGAAAAAAATAAATGAAATAATATTGGGCCTGTTTGGGAATAGCGTTAGAGATTAGCGTTAGCGTTTTGGATAAAATTTTAACGGTACAGATTACTTTGAAAACGATAACGCTAAACGCTGCCCGTAGATAGCCTTTTCAAAACGCTAACGCTATTCCCAAACAAGCCCATTGAGTAATATTTATCAAAGATTAAATAATAATTATTTTTTGATTTAATCACATTACTTTATTTAAAGTTACACGCACCTAAATATTAATTAATATTATAACTTTAAATATATTTATTATTACTCCATCCGTCCTATATTTTTCTTCCCGTTGCGCAAAACGAAGAAAAATCTCAAATTTTTTCAATCTATTTTATTTAAATATTGGTATAGAAATAAAAAATAAAACATACATATTTAAAAACTACATCAAAAGTTCAACAAAACAAGTGGTGACAAGAATATTTTATTTTATCATATAAGCCATGAAAAAACACAAATAAATACAAATTCCCGTGAAGTTGAAATAGTGCTCTGGGAAGAAAGTTTTAGAACGGAGGGAGTATTATTATTCTTTATTATTATAGAACGGATGAAGTACTATTCTTCTGAGTAAGCTTAAAATGACACCAGTGCTACTGGTGTCATTTGCTTACATTAGTTCGTTTGGATACTTACGGTGTTCCATTTATAAAAATGAGTTCCTACCCCCTGACCCCCTAAACCCCCAACCCAGCCCCACCCTTGCCCCCCACCCTAGCCCCCCTCACGCCCATAGCAGTATACTGCCAGGGTAGGGAGGGGGGCGGGATGGGGGCTGGGGTGGGGGACAAGGGTGGAGCTGGATTGGGGGGTTTAGGGGGTCAGGGAGTAGGAACTGGTGTAAACAAATGGTGTATTAGTAACTGATGTCATTATAGACGTTCCCAATTCTTTTTATATCAACTACAAACTATAATTATTAGTAATATGCATAAAGAATGTAAAATTTTTGTAGAATACCTACTTTATTTTCTAATATTTAATTATTTTAATACCAAGTAATAATACACTCTTCACTATATAAAGAGAAATTTATTATTCCGTTTTCACTGAGATTAAAAAAAGAAATATTTGCATTAAATAACACTAAAACTTAAGTTATTTCCCTAAATAGTACTTAAATTGTTTTATTTCCTAAATAACACTTAATAATGTCTATTATGTCTTGTAATGACGAATATTTACTTGAATAATGACTAATGCATAATGACTAAAAATGCTACATAGGGAAGAAAAACATATATAGTGCTATTTAGGGAAAGTCATTATGTTTTAGTGCTATTTAAGTAAATTCCTCTTAAAAAAAGTAGTAATATTAAAAAGATATTTAATATTTTAAAAAAAAGTTTAAATATATTAATGATAAGTCATTGTCAATGAATTTCTTACTCCGTATTTTATTTTTTTATGTATGTATGAATTGTAATATTTTATAATTATTATATATCTTGTAATAATTGTAAGCTTAATTGAAATTCAATTACACCAGATCAGATTTGATCTATTCCAATCAGATTATAAATTCTTTTCTGTTTTTGATTTTTTTGGCAAACAATGATATTCTTTGATCACAAATTAAATATAATCTAAATAAATAAATATTATAAAATTTGATATGTCAAAACTATATTTTAATTCTATTAAAGTTATACTACGTATTATAATTCTATATACTCTCTCTGTCCTTAAAGAAATTTTCCTTTCGTTTTTTCTTTGTCCCACAAAGGTGTTTTCTTTTCTATTAAAAACTCACTTTTACCATTATTTTTTCATACCTTACCATTACATAATACTTTTTTACTAATAATTTATCCATCACATCTTACTTTTATCCATCACATCAAAGATATTTTTTGAAAAGTCAACACTAAAATATTTCTCTCTTAATTTTCCAAAAAGTCAATAAGGGATGGAGGGAGTATAATTTTCTGAAAATTAACATGTCTAACGGCTAACCTGAGAAAATCTAGCGACGACCGCGGTGCGATTTGAAGAGGAAGAATCTACAGACTACAGAATCAATCAAGTGATGAGCTATGGACGTGCAGGAAGAAGAGGAGAAGACGACGATGAAAAGAGTAGCCGACTTTCTGAGCAAGGAGGTGAAAGATTGGGGGAATGAAGAGAAGATGAGATCTAGGTTTAAGGCACTCAGTGGGCAGAGGTGTGATTGGGAGCCTCTTTACCTTTTCTGGAGAGACCTGATCATCAAGGTATCTTCCCACCTCAACATCTTCATCGTCAATCCTCGCCACATCAAGCATCTCTGGTTTTGCCAAAGTGGATTGTCCCCTTTGTGCCTTGATCGCGTGCTCGTTGAGATGTGCAATTCCGGCGAACTGTTGCCGGTTCCGAATATTTCCGTGGGAGAAGCGGAAGGCTGGCGATTATCTCAGATTTTCCGTAAAGCAGCGCATTTGGTGGGATTTTCTCGGGGATCAAATCCTGTGGAGTGTCTAGTGGAGGATTTCTATGCATTGACCCCACTCTTGAAGGTCTGTTTGGCAGCTATACTGTTTATGTTTATTTTTCCTTTACTATTTAACAGCAACAAGTTGGGCTTGAACTTTAGGGTTAGTTTGGATGGAGGGTTTCTGATGATTATCTGTGGTTGACTGAAATATATATGTAAAGATATTAACTTAGCCTCCTTAACGCCTCTACCTGAATTCTTAAGGGACCATTATTTGAACATTTGCAGGAAAAGTCCGAAGAAGTTGTAAAGTACTTTTGTGAAAATCATTGGACGCCTTCATGTGTTGTTACAATGAGTAAGTTCCAGGAACTTTGTGGCGGTCCGAAAGAAGCTTCTGCAATAATGAGTTACTTGTCTGACTGCCGAAAAGCAAAGTACCTTGTAATCTCCAGAAATGACCGCATAGAGGTAAACAAAATGTGTTATCTTTAAGTGGTAGTGTACCCAAACTAAGAAATGCCTCCCAGAACCTAATTGCAAACGGCCTCTCTACTCCTTGGGGCAGAGGAAATGTCTGCATACCCTGGGTTTAAGTGGGATTTACCGGGTTTGGTTTGCTTTAGCAGCTTACATTTCAAAGCTACAGGCTCTTATGACCTCCAATTAGTTATTCCCTACGTGTTCTAAGGGCATTTCTTTCTTTCTTTTTCTCAGGGAGTAAAAATATGTCTTGATTCAGGAGCTGTTCCTAACATCACAAGCATAGATTACAATGTTTTACACTTAATATGGACACTAGAAAAGCTTGAACAACAGCTTTGTCTAATCGATCAGCGTTATGAAAAGTATGACTCTAATTCTCTCTGTGCCTTCATTCTACTGTTTAGTATATCAGCTTCGAATAAGTTATGGGTGCCTATATCATGCTTTACTAGCTGAATAGAGCACATCCCTTATAGGTGTTTAAAGTTCACCTTTGGCTCCAAGCTTTCCAGCCCTAAGATTATAGGGTGTGTGTTTACAAAATGGTTTTTAGGGTGTGTTTAGTT